AACACCATTTTTCAAATTGTCCATTCTCTCTCACATACCAAGTTTCACGATGCATGTGGATTTGTTTCTAGACGGAAGCTGTTTCATTGTTTTATTATTTTTTTTTCCCTAGACTTCGGTCAATATCACACTATTTTGTCTATTATAAATCCTAATATCTGATAAGGTAGGTTTCCTCTCCCCCCCCCCCAACTTTTAAAAATTGCTTTCCTATTTTTTCAATTTCTTGATTCTTACACCTTTCCCAGGAATTTTAGAATTGGTGTGTGAAGTTCCTTGAACACCCTCAATGAATTTTTATTAAAATCCCATTGCATTTATAGTTTGAATTGACAGGAATGGTCATCTTTAAAATATTCACTATCCTAATCCATGAATACGGTATCAGTCAGGAGTAAGTGCAGAAAACAAGAAATCTCTAGGTATTTTAAGCAGAAAGGAATTTGATGGAGAGAATTAATTGCTGGCTAGGTTCCTGGATTAAATGTATATTTCTTTTATATTTTAGTTTTCAAATCTATGGCAGGCAAGTATTGGATATTTTTGTTTCTTTTTTCTTCTCTCTTTTCTGCATTGTCATCAGAGAATGATATAGATTCTTTCATGTTTGTTGAAACCATCCTTCGTGGCTTACAAGATCATCAATTTTAATGAATGTTTCATGAAAGTTTGCAAATAATACGTGTGTTCTCATGACAATTTGCAAATGATATGTGTGTTCTATACTGGGTATGGGGTTCTATAAACGACCCTTAGATTAAGCATATGAATTATATCCTCAAGTCCTCCATATCTTTACCAATTTTTGTCTGATTGATCAATGTATTTCCTAGAAAGAGCCTTAATATGTTCTACTGTGATTGTGAATTTGCTGATTCCTCCTTGTACGTACTGACGATGATTCCTGCCTTACACATTTGAGATTATGTTGTGAAAGGAGTATAAATTTAAGTATTCAGATTTCTTGAAGAGTTGTGTTCTTTATCATTAACTCATGAACTTCTTTGTATTAATTTTTTCTTGCCATAAAGTCTATTTTGTCTGATACTTTTAGAACCATACCACCAGCTTTCTTTTTTTTAGGGTTTTCTTGTGTGTATTTACCATACATTCACCTCTATATTTTCTGAGTAATTATATTTTAGTCACATGTCCTATAAACACATATAGGACATGTTTTCTCAAAATTTCTATTTTGAATAATTTCAAATATGCAGAAAAGTTGAAGGAACAGAGCAATAAAAATATGCCAACCCTTCACCTAAATTCATCCAATGTTTATATTTTGTCAGTTTTGCTTCTTTTTCTATCTATATATCAATGACACAATTTTTTTTTACTGAACTATTTGAATATAAATCACAGTATCATGCTATTTCACTCCTAAATAGAATTATTTATCCTAAATTGCATGCATTCCATAATACATATTGTATAACATAATTATATAATGTCTTATATAATATGCACACACTCATACTCACATTTTAATCATTTAAAATTTTATTGGGGAGTAGTACCTCATTGATAGATATATCACAATTTGTTTTATCAATTCACCCATTGAAGGTCATTTAGGTTGTTTCCAGTTTGTTGTCACAAATTATGCTCCTATGAACATTTGCGCATAAGACTGTGTGTGGACAATGCTGATGCTGCCCTGATATCTGTTCCCTACATTAAACCCAGCGTATATGGAGTCAAAACCAAAAACAGCCATCGCCTTCCCTGCTTCTCTAGTTTCCTTCATACGTATATATTGGTCTCTTTAACCTTTGTATGCCCCATACACACCAGGCAAATAGAAGTCACAAATTGTTAAAAGCCCAGGTGGCCTCACGCTTGGCTCACACTGAAGTTGTGCCTACTTACCAGTTTTGAGATTTATTACAGGGAAACTGATACCCACACGATATCAAGAAGCTGAGGCTCCCCAGACCCCAACTCCCCAGCTTCCTGGCGCCAGAATCCACCACCCATCACAGGGGGCAGACGACCAAGGACACCCACCTGCGGATTCCCTGATCTCACCACCCTCCTCCCTGCCAGCAGCCTCACAAGGCCAAAGGAAGGCTGGTGGGGAAGCGCCAACCAGCAAGGCCACAGGCTCCCCCTCCCTGCAAGCAGCCACATTCCTCACAACCTTTAAAACCCCTTGCCTCCCATCTTTCCAGAGAGACAATATGAGGGCTTACCCTCTTCTCCTGGCTGACATCACTCGAAATAAAAACTCTTTCCTTGCCATAAGCCTGGCGTTCCAATTTTGTTTGGCCCATCTTCTGTGGCAGGTAAAAGAACCTGTGTTGTGTTTTTTTTTTGTTTTTTGTTTTTGTGAGGAAGATCAGCCCTGAGCTAACATCCGTGCTATTCCTCCTCTTTTTGCTGAGGAACACCGGCTCTGAGCTAACATCTATTGCCAATCTTCCTCCTTTATTTTTTCCCCCAAAGCCACAGTAGATAGTTGTATGTCATAGTTGCACATCCTTCTAGTTGCTGTATGTGGGACGCGGCCTCAGCATGGCCGGAGAAGTGGTGCGTCTGTGCGCACCTGGGATCCGAACCCGGGCCGCCAGTAGCGGAGCGCGCGCACTTAACCGCTAAGCCACGGGGCCGGCCCAAAAACCTGTGTTTGTGTCCGGTAACAATGCTATTTTTTTCCCTTGGGTAAATACCTAGGAATGGACTGGCTAGACTGTATGGTAGGTGTATGTTTCAGTTTTTAAGAAATTATCAAACAGTTTTCCAAAGTGTTTGTACCATTTACACTCCTACCAGCAATGTATGAGAGTTCTGTTTCTTCCACATGCTTGCCAACACTTGCTTTGATCAATCTTTTTAATTTTAGTCAATCTAATAGGTGAATAGTGGTACCTCACTGTGATTTTAATTTGCCTTACTCTAATGACGGATGATGTTGAGTAGCTTTTAATGTTCTTATTTGCCACCAGTATATCTTCTTTGGTGAAATGTCTGTTTAAATCTTTTGCCAATTTTTATTGGTTTGTTTGTTTTCTTATTATTGCATTTTGAGAGTTCATTCCATTAAATTTTAACATGCACAGGAGACTAAAATTAATCAGTACCTCTTATCTACGTCCTAAAGAAAACTCTGACCTTGCCCTTTCTAAACAGGGAAACTATAGATTTAAGACAATTTTTGGTATATTTTATCCAGCATTTCTATGTTTGAGGCCAAGAACTTCAGCTCTCATGTTGCTGGAAGCTTCTCTAGAGGGTGTTTTCACAAAGAAACAGGCAGGCTTATTATAATAGTCAAGTCCTGAAGGAGAATAGGCTTTTCTAGACCTCTTTCCAAGCCTGTTCTAGAATTCTGAGATTGCGCAAAATAACTATATAATGAAGGAAAGAATTCTTTCCTTCATTAACTGTAATAAAATAAACATGGGTATACATCTCAACATACCCCAATATATATGTATTTACCTTCTGAATTTAGTAGGTAAACACACCTTTAAACACATGCAATAAATACAATTTCAATCTCCTGCCTTATATCTTGCATAATGCCATTTATACTCTTATCCTCTATCTTGCATGATGCCGTTTATGCTCTTATCTTCATTAATCTATTGCTATACAGTGATAAAGGTGCAGCGTCATCAAAGCACACATTTATAACGGGATGCCTTGAAGATATTTGAAAATACTTCATAGCCAATGGTTTTTGATGAAATTGCTTTTTTAAGCAATTGAATTTTAGTTTAAATATAACATAGTTTTTATAAAGAAGAGAAAACTTAAGAAGCATTATAAAAACAGTAGGAAAGTATGTTTCTAATCTCTTGTGCATTTAGCCTAGGAAAATACCACATCCCTCCTCCCATCCTCATAAAACAAAACAGAACCAACGTTCAACTGAATAAAGATGTAACTTATCTATGCTGCTGAATCCGATCTTATTTCTCTTCCTGGAAACGGGCAGAAACATAAAGTTTGCCGTCAACTTCAAGGCTCTCTTTCAAGCCCAGAAGGAGAAATATTTCAATATAGTAATGTAAAAGGAGAGGACATTTTTACTGAACACTTACTTTGATAGGCATTGTGTAAACTTGTTCTATGTTTATTTTATGTAGTCCCCTCCTCTATTGTAACTGGCTGCACAATTCTTAACCCATTTTACAGATTAAGAAACATGGGTTTCCAGAATTTATTGGCACCCACGGGGTGTTACATTGTTTTGATGTTTAAACTACCTACTTTATTCAAAGCCCAGTACAGTCTGCTGGTAGGAAATACAGTAACACTCAAGGGACCTGAGGGAATAAAAAGATCTTTGAGTTGCACAAAGATCTAAATCATGCAAGTTGCAGAAATCCTGGGTGGATACCATGCTATCTTTTAGATCATCTCTCACCCTCCAGGGTGGCAAATTACCTTGTAGATCCATTATGGGTTAGGTTCCTTAACTGTTTTTGTGCCATGGACCCCTTTGGCCTTCTGGTGAATTCCATGGACCTCCTTCTCAGAATAAAGTTTTCAATGCATAACAGAAAGAATAGAAATTATATTGAAATATAGTTCTTGCATCTGACCCCTGAGATTTTCAAGAATTTCTGTCCATCTCACCTCCCAAGTCTCCCAAAGCGCTCAGAGACTTTCCTTACCTTCTTCAGAGAAGGTAAAAAAGAGACACCCAAGCAGGTTCGGAAGGTGTGCGGGTGGGGCGGAGTATGACAGGGGCAACGGAGACGTTTCTGAGATGACATTAGCGTCTTTTCTCTTCCGTCTGAAAGCCTCCCCACTTCCCCAGCCCCTCCATCTTTTCCCAGATCAAGTCCAATTTCTCTCTAGTTTTACTTCTTTTCTATCAGCCCCATCTCTTGCTCGGCCCCGCCCAGTTTTCTAGACCCGCCTCTTGCTGGCTCCACCTCCCTCCAGCGTCCTCCTTCCACATGAATCCCGCTATCTCCCCTATCACTGCTCCGTTCCCTGCCAATCACGCTGGACCCTCTTGCCGCGCTCGGGAACCCAAACCGAGCCTGTTGGGCCGAGGAGCCGCGGCTGCAGAGGGATGGCCGGGGCGGCCGGAGGGTTCTCGGAGGAGCAATTCCGGGAGGCCTGCGCCGAGCTCAGGCATCCCGTGTTGGCCGTCGCCGGATGGGAGCTGCTGGTGGAGGCCATGGGCATTAGCATCTACCGGCTGCGGGACCAGGTAGCGGCCGGCCCGCTGGAGGACCGCGGGGCGCCGGGGCCACCGTCCCCGCGGGGAGTGTGGGGCTGTGGCCGCGGAGTCAGGACCGGGGCAGGTCTTCTGGAGCTGGGACAGCGAGCGCAGGGGCGATGCCTCCCGCTGACGTGCCCGGGGCAGATCCTGAGGAGTTGGGCGGTCATCTGAATTCAGCCTCAGTTCTGAGGCCCAATGGGGGAAGCGGTTTTTTTAGAAATTAATGATAAAGGTAAAAAAGTGGGTTTGCTGGTTCTTAGCCCCATGCACCTGCCTTAGGAGACATGGATGCCCCTCCAGGGTGGATGCCAATGGTGTGTGTTTCGGGCGGGGGGCAGGGGGAAGAGTATCCTAGGGTTTGAATATAGGTGTGAAAGAGTCTGGACTTTTCAGAGACTGAGTGTGCAGGGTGTGTGGGCAGGAGTGTTGCCGAAAGGACCCACTATCGTCTCTAGTCATTTTAGTGACTTGCTTCTTTTGGCTGCTGCCCCTTCCTTGTAAGTTGCACTTAATAACTTTAGTCTGAAGCTTCAGGGAGAAAGCGGAGGAGGAGTGGAGTGGGTTATTAAGCAAGTCGTGGGGCGCTCTTGGAGGCCTTTGGAAGCAGGTAGCCATCTAGGTGGAAGGGTGGCCCTGCACCTGAACCCTGTCATCAGTTGCCCTCTGTGTGGTAGTAGTTGCATGGCAAATAGGTTAAAAGTCGCCTTTAGGCAAGGTAAGTGCAATCAAGGTTTCCTGGCAGAGGACCAGAGTAGTCCAGAGTTAGAGCAGGGAGGAGCTCTGAATGCCTGTGTGGACCAGGGCCATGGGGTATAAGAAGATGAACGAGAGGCGCACAGTCTAGAGCAGACAGAATTAATTCCCTAGTGTAATTGCAATTCCTTGGTGCAAAAATGGACATGTTTTCAGACAGAATCCTTTTATCTTCTCTCTGACAGTTTCATTTTCCTTATCAGCTGCATCCAGGTGTTTGCCAGGTTTTGTCAGTTGGACTGCTCAGACATGTCTGACATCTGGCCAGTTCCCTTCCCTTTCTTTCCTTTATGTTTGGCGCTCTGGGTGGCACCTCTCACCCAGAATTGCAGTGACCTCTTAACTAGTGTCCCTTCCCACTAGAGGCCTTCCCCCTCTCTGATCCCTTCCATCCTATACATTACAGGCAATCAAGCCCCTGAAAGAGAAGCTGTGATCTTACTGCTTCCCTTTCAGTGCACTGTTGATTACAGAATTAATAATAATAACAACCATTGTAATACCTAACACATTTCCTGCTTTCTTGTGTTCCAGACATTGTTTAAGTGCTTTACATGTATTGACTTACTCAGCCCTCACCTCAACCGTAATGTAAGGTACTATGATTACCACCTTTGTAGCTATATGGAAAGGAATATATGCAAGGGTTAAGTTGATTGCTTGAGATTCGAACTGGGATCGGACCTCAGTTGTCCAGCTCCAAACGTGTGCCGTAAACACGCTCCTGCATTGCCTCTGAAAGAAGGCAGGTGCTGCCAGGTGGGCTCCACTGAGCTATTTCGGTCCCAACTCACATCTCCAGCTGTATCTCGCATGACTCACCCATATGTCTCCTTACAACATCATCCATGCAACCCGGACCACACCACCTCCCTCCTCACACTGGCCTGTGCTTTTTTGCTTTTGTGCCTTTTGTCCCAGATTATCCACTGCCTGTGAGTGAGACAGAGTGACTGGCTTTGTATTGTGTATTGTTCTGGAGCGGGGCCCACGTCCCTCCTGTGGGGAGGACATGAGTGGTGTTCTGAGTAGTTTCTATCACTATGAAAAGATATGACTATAGAGAAGATATGACTCTAGAGAAGATATGACTCATTTCAACCTGTTCTGGGAAGGAGGGTAGTCATGGTACATTGATGTAAATTAGAAGCGCTCCGAGAGAACTTCCATAAATTTGGAGGGCCATAAGATTCCCGTAGATGTGCCGTCGAGCCTCAGCAGCTGGGATGGAGGCTCATTGCCCCGTGGTCACTTTCTTTTCCATCTGTACTAAAACGTTAAGAGGCCCTATTGGGTCTGGGTAAGAGCCCTTTCCTAGAACCCTTCCTGGGTTCTAGCATTATCCAGCATTATTTGCTGCCTGACCCACTTTGCTAAGCCTCATTTTCTTCCCAGGTTTACACCCTTCCTTTACTCTCCTCCTGGAAGAGAGTTCCCTCTAATCTCCAGACAGTCTTTTCTTTTGAATACCGCTCTGCTCAGAGGTGAATTCAGCTTGTCCCACGCTATGCCCAGACCTGCACCTGTCTCCCCTAATCCCCTTCTGTCTTGTGGACCAGTGTTGTCTAATCCACCACGCATGTTGTTGCCGTTACTTGTATCTTCTTCCACCCCCACCCCAGCCATTTTCCCAGACATGTGCTTATGGCCTTGGGTCCCCGAGTAGGGGTCAGACCAGAAGACCCTAGCCTCTCTGTCAATCTTCATATGGCTTAATCTGCTTGACCATTGCCCCAGGCGTTTCCAGGTCAAGTTTCTCATTGCAATCTTTGCCTTCTGGCTTTTTAAATTCCTCCAACTGGGGTCAATAGAGTGGACTGGTTTGGGGCCCTTTAATTTTAGGGACCAGCAGTAGGTCCACCCAACTTTTGATAGTGCTGCATTAACACCTTTACTTAAACCCCATGGAAATCCACTTCATTCATTCTATTTTTTAATAACCATCTAAAGACTTCCACTCTACTGGAATGAGTCCCTCTATTCTGCCCTCTCTCTCTCTCCATTTTCAGATTAATTACTCTAATTTTCTTGGCTAGTGTAAGACCCATAAGAGGAAGCTGAGACAGGTAATCTGATAAGGCTTTTTTGGATAGCAGTAAGGGTACCTGTGGTGCCTGCACAAAAAGAGCCCTCTTTATCAAAGTATTTACCACGACTTGGGGAAGGGGCGTATTCAATGGATGACTATTTCAATCGTGGTAAAGCCAGTCCAACATGGCTTGCATACAAAGCATATTAGCTGCTTCATCAGGATTTACCATTTGGAATTTATAAGATAGGAAGAATCGGACAGTCCCCCCTTTTCAGGGTAAACAGAGTTTACAGTGGCTTTTATCTAGTCCACCAGGCTGGCTGTTCCCTGAGGAATGACCTGATATGTGTGTGGATCATGTGTAGCCGTCCATGATTGGCTAAGAAGCTGTAGTGAGCTGTGATCATGATGTAAATGATGATGTGACAAAGTTATTATTACATGTTTTGAAACAACTGAAATAAGTGTAGAGGCACTTGAAAGAGTTTTCAATATAACAATACATTATATTTTAAAGTAAAGAAAATATTGTGGCTTCTTAGTAGAGAAAAATAATTCTGAATCTTGTTCTTGGAGAAATTACTACTTTTCATATACAGTATTTTGGTACTTTTTCATTTCTCTTTTTCTATTAAATCATAGAATTTTAGACTTCTATGAACTTCTAACTTCTTTAGAAAGTTTCTTCAAAATAATTCTGTCCAACACCATCATCTTTTCCTTTCCTTTCTTTTTTCTACTTTCTTTGCCTACTCTGTTTCCGTCTGCTCTTCTTCTCTTTTTTTCCTCCCCATTACAACCATTACCAGGTTGTAATGGTAATAACTTAGCTTTACATGGTGCTTTAATTTAGAAAATGCTGTCACATATAAGTTTTCACTTATCTCTCTCAACAAATCTGGAAGACAGGCAGGGACAGGCTTATTTTCTTATTTTACAGATGGAAATGAGACTCAGAGTTGTTGAGGGAGCACCACAAGACCTCATAACTAGTAACTAGACATGACCCAGTCTAGGAATTTGATAAACTCAATATCAAATATACAGCTTGCTTCAAGTTAAGAACTATATTCTCTTTCTGGAGGTTCAGCAAAAGTATTCCAGAGCTGCCACGTGGCATCTTGGGGAGAGGGTGGGTTTTGGAGACAGATTAACGTCTCAGCTCTGCACCACTATCATTCCTTTATTCGTTTAGGAAATATTCATCAAATGCCTCCCAGGTGCTATTCCTCATGCAGGCAGCTGGGGATAAGCAGGGAACAGGAAGATGGAGCTGCTGCTTCTGTGAAAGAGCTTCTCAAACAATGAATCATATTCATTGATGAGACTAAACCCATAGTATACAGGAAAATGTTCAGTGAGAAAGGCTATGAAGAAAGTAAAGTGGGATGAAGGGACGGAGAGATGGTATGGCAGGGGTAGCCAGGGGTGATGTGATGTCCTTTAGATAAGGGAGTTTGGTAAGCTTCTCCATGGAGGGAACATTTGAGTGGAGATAGAAGTGAGGTGAGAGATTGAGTCATGCAGATATCTGGAGGAGAAATGTACCAGAGAGTGTTTCTCAAAGCTCATGCACCTTAGCGTCACCGAGCCCAACCCTAGAGTCTCAGATTGAAGTGACCTGTGGGGGGGATTGGATAGTCCTTTTGAAAAGTTCCGTTTTCATGTGGAGGTTGACTACTCTGTTCTCTCTACATTTGTGTATGTTTGAAGTGCTTCAAAATAAAATGGGTTTTGTTATTGTTTGTTTGTGTGGCCTTGTACATCATTTATGTATTTATTTAAAATAATTATTTTATTGAGGTCATATTGGTTTATAACATTGTGTAATTTCAAGGGTACATTCTTATATATCGGTTTCTGTATGGACTGCATCATGTTCATCACCAATAGTCTAGTTTTTATCTGTCATCATACATATGTGCCCCTTTACCCCTCTTGCCCTCCCCCTCACACCCTTCCCCACTGGTAACCACTAATGTCTTCTCTTTGTCCATGTGTTTGTTTATCTTCCACATATGAGTGAAATCATACAGTGTTTGTCTTTCTCTGTCTTGCTTGTTTCGCTTAGCCTAATACCCTCAAGGTCCATCCATGTTGTTGCAAATGGCATGATTTTGTCTTTTTTTATGGCTGAGTAGTATTCCATTGTATATATATACCACATCTTCTCATCCATTCATCCATTGTTGGGCACTTGGGTTGCTTCCACATCTTCACTATTGTGAATAATGCTGTGATGAACATGGGGATGCATAAATCTCTTTGAATTGTTGATTTCATGTTCTTTGGATAAATACCCAGTAGTGGGATAGCTGGATCATATGGTATTTCTGTTTTTAATTTTTTGAGAAATCACCATAGTATTT